TATATACATAATTAAATATATATACAAATATGCCCACATATATACATACCTACACACACAGAAACCCATACAAAATTATAAGAATTAGCCACACGAATGTACGACTAACCTTACAGTCGACGATAAGTACAGAGACATGAATATGGATATGAAAGCTGGTCAACGAAAACACACTACATATACATATATACATGCATAATTGCCTCATACGCCCTATCACACACGTCTATACACAAAAATAAACACAGTGATCACAGATATACAAACGCAATAGCTACATAGCACACCACTCCATCGCCGGACACGCCCACTCACTCACCTGACCGTCGACGAGAAGCGGTACAGGGACTTAAACAGAGCTATGAAGATAGGCAGACGTGTAGGGCCGCCTATGGTAGGGCGTAAACCGGGTGCAAAGAACGCCTCAATACACTCCATTGCTGTGTCTACCACAAAGCGCACCATGGCATCAGACATGCTAGCTGGGCGGACGTACACATTGAGCTTGGAGAGAGAGACGGCCTGGAGGGGGGGGGGGGGGGGTATGGGGAAAAAGTATACGTGCGTGCGTGGGTATGTGTGGGTGTATGTGTGGGTGTATGTGTATGTATGATTTTAATGCATGTAGGAATATATATATGTATGTATGATTATATATGTATGTATAGTTATATATGAATATATGACTATATATGTATGTATGGCTAGATATGTATACATGACTATATATCTCTGTGGAGGTACGCTGCAATTGACGAATGCCTCAGTCAAAGTGCTCGCAGACTGTACGTAGACATTTGTTTGTATAAGTATGGTTACAAAAAAAATGTATATATACAATCAAATATATACATACATGTATATATATATATATATATATGTATATATATATAGATGAATACATACATAGATACATACAAAAAATAGATACGTAGATACCTCGATATATACATCCTGATAGACACACATACATACGTGCACTCATACATACATACACACACACACATCAAAATATACTGTCATAGGCAAACACCCACACATATGCACATACATATACATAAGGATACATAGATACACATACATACACAAACATCCAAATCGTATACCTTCTCAATATCAGCCTGGAATGAGCTCATCAGCTGCCACATGAGTGAACTGGTGTACATCTCCGGCACATCCATCTCAGTCTCCAGATAGCAATGCGTAAGGAAGTACACGTACGCATTCTTAACCGTATACGTACACGATTTATGTACTACCACCTTGACCACATCGCCCATAGATACCAGCGACTGGCACTTGATTTCCGTATAAAAGTTTTTGCCAAACGTACAGGCGGCTAGTACTTTAATTAACAGCAGATGGTATTCGAGTTCGCTGTCGGTGTCTGTGGCCAATTCGTCTGTGTGTGTGTGCGGGGGAGGGGTATAGATGAAGGATAGTATACTTGTTCAGATGATAATGGAAGGTTGGTATGATTTGATAATAGTAAGATATAATATCCATATTGGTATGGCTTTATACTAGTCTGAAGGTATGGACATAAGTGCATGTGCAAGGTCAAATGATTTAGAATACGAAATTTTGGGTTTGGTATAGACATATCTACACAAAGACATGCATGCAATCAGACAGCTGAATTGGAATATTATCAAGAACAACGCGAGCAGAGTAATAAACATCGATGTATTTATGTTCAAAAAAGGGCACATCCGCATGCACCACAGTTGTACTGATATATATAACGATATAAAACGATATATAAAGATATATATATATATAGACACAGACACAGACACAGACACAGACACAGACACAGACACAGACACAGACACAGACACAGACACAGACACAGACACAGACACTAGACACAGACACAGACACAGACACAGA